AACAGAATTAAGCAATTTGTGTCATGTGTTGCCATGGAGACTGTAAATCACTGTCATGCTGGGCCTCTCTGTCAGGGAGCTGGTGTCTTTAATTGCACTAACCTCCTCTGCAAATACAGGGCTTAGTTCTGAGCTCATTTCTTTCTATAATGGCTTTGCCCAGGTAGCTCTGCCTCCAGGACAGCAGATCTGGAACCGGGGATTAGGTGTGCTCACACATCGAATATCAAATATCTGGGGTCTATTTTATTATTGTCTTATGTGGCCATACCTCTGCTCAGATGAACAGAAATTATGATTTACACAAGATGAGATCCGTCCCACTTGCATTCACGACAAGTTTTGCAATGAGGATGGGGATTAGACACACTACCTATATGTTGTGGTGACCTGTTGGGGCTTGGTGGTCCAGTCGCACAAACTAAGCTGAATTTCTCCATCTTTGGTGGTTTTATATTACTTGGCTGCTCCAAGGGATTAGTTCAGCCCTTCCACTCCATCCCCGTGTCCAAACAGGTAAAAGGGGGTTTGTACAGTTTATTCTGCCTCCACAAAAAATCATTTTGCAGAGGAGACTGAGCCTCAGTGATATTCTTGGGTTTCTCTTTTTTCCTTGCCATCTACCCCAGAAGTAGCCACATTTCTGGCTGTTTCAGCATTACTGGCTTGTGCTGTCAGGACACAGATCTTGCCAGTACATATGAAGACGGTGGTATAAATCACCCTTCTTCCAGTGACTTAACCAGAGTCCTGACAGCATTTGTCAGCGTAGGGTATGGATCCTTCTTTTGGCTCCTTCAAAATAAACAACTATATAAATCGTAAGTTGATTATCATCAGAGCTTATTAGTGTATTACCACATGCTGCTTTGTATTCAGACAATAGATAAAAACGCCTGTGCTTCGTTTTTCTCAGTCAGATCTACAGCAAACACGCTTATTCTTGCTCCCATCTGAGGAGAACTGTGTCAGTACTCGTGCCAAAAACACATGAAAATCAGCCCAAGTCTTGCGCACTAGCCCATAGCAATGTAACCAGCTGGCATGGAAGCTCTGCACACCTTTGGGAGTGTTTAATGTTTTCCAGGAGGTGACATATGTTGTTTTGAAGGTTTGATTTATTGTCTGGTTTAGATGATAATCTTGTCAAGGCATGAGCTGTTTTCTTGCTTTGGTTATCAATCAGGGCAAGTGGAGATCTAGAGGGATTGAAGTACTTGGCTTTCGGAGAGTTTTGTATTATGTGCCCGCATGTTGGGAGCGCAGGACCTGTCATCTCAGTAGAAGGAGGAAGGTTTCCATGAGCAGTAGAAACAGCCCTGGAGAAACATCTAAACTTGCTGCCCTTTGACACTCAATAGAAGTTTTTGTCTGTTTATGCTAGCATCACCTAAAATATGGGGGTTGTGCTCAACAGACCAACCTACAGTTTTTGACATTATTTTTCTTAATTTTTTTTTTTTTTTTTTGGTTCAGTTCTTGCTGTTCTCCCCAGGCTACATAATACTCATTCTGGTAGCTTAAACATACAGTCTAAGAAATGATGGAAACAATGGGAAGCAAATGCCCTGATTCAACCCGCAAGTGTGTTGGGCAGAATCACAGTTTGTACAGTGGGCTAAATATTATCCTAGTACTTTGGGAAGCATTTCATGCAAGAAAAGCTTGAGGTTTCTTAGGAGCAAGTTAAAGGGGCTGGTACAAAATGTCAATGAAAATGTAATGCTTGTCTGCTGAGCAGTAGCTTGTGGTTTTGTGATGAGGTCAAAAATCGTGCACAAATGGAGTATGGTTTTCACATCTGCGGCCTGTCCCCTGCCATGTCAGTAACAATTGGTCTTTTATACTGCCTGGCCATGTAAAGAAGGATGGGGTGAAATCTTGGCCATGGGCAAAGCAAAAAATTGTCATCGGATGTGTAAGGGGGGCAGGGTTTTATCTGGGGGCTCTGTCCTAAAGAGCCTGTGAGGATCATCTGATGCAAGCAGGATTGTGTGGAAAGAAGACACGGTCTTCCGTGCAAAACTGAGAAATTTAGTTGAAATTCATAGGTTTCTGTGCAGCCAAGCATGCCGGTTATTGATACATGATCTTGTAAATATGAGAAAGTAGCTTACTCTCCCAAAAGTGGAGGTAAGAAAATTTCCTTGGGATTATGGTGAGGAACTGCAATAAGACTGGTTGAGACTTCAGCTGGTGCTTGCTTTCCTCCTCCCCATTCAGCAGCTGTTGCTTGCAGTGGAAATTCTTGCTGTTCTCAAGAATTTCCTCCAAAGATAGTTTAGAAGCAAGCAGACTTGATCATGTTTCTTCTTGCTCTGAAAGTTTTGTCTCAACTTGGACAAGAGGCCTTTGCAGTTCTTTACTAGCCTCAGCAATCTCACCCCTGTGATCACCCTCTCTCTACTTCTCATGGCTTTTCTTTTAAGAGGAGAAACTAAGACAGTTCCTATACATTTGGTTGGAGGAGAAATGTCCAGTACATTACCTTAGTCAGGGGTGAAGGCATTTAACCTGCGTAACATATGGATTATGCATATGGGAAGTTATTCCTGTGTTTGCAGAAGTCCCTCAAGTGCAAGCTGTACCTTGTCATGCATAATGTGATGGGGAGGACAGAGAAGAGAAGATTCATTTGAAAAATGGAGAGTTTTTCTCTTTTGGCATTGAACTATGACCGTAGGTGGGAATGTAACTCCCAGAGTTATATCCTGCTAGCACTAGATGGATTATGGTGTGATGATCAGAGGCAAAAAGTATCAAGGAAACCTTGTTCTCATGACTGCCTTAAAGCATAGAGCGAACCGCTCAAGTTTCATCATCTTGATATTGTCTTTGGGCATTGGTGTTGTGAGTGGTGCGCTCACAGCATGCTTCAGGTCACCTACTAACATGGAATGTTTTGGGGGGTTTTAGATTGTGGCTTAATTTCCACAGCTGCTTTGGCCTGAGGATCTTTTTCCTGTGATTAAAACTTAAACTCAAATGTGAATGATCACAACTAGTTTTATTTTGTTTCCTTCCATGCACCTGCCCGCATGTGTGGGAAGGTGGGTATGTAGTGGGGGGAAAGCTGGTTAGTAGAGCTGTGAAATGACTGTGAAAGGCCCCTCTCAAGGGACAAGGTCTCTAGTGTATGGGAAGGAATGTGGCACCCCCAAGCACACCAGGTCAAAAGTACCTTTCATGGTTCAATAATTTAGATAAAACAGAAATAGTGATTTTGAAGAAAAAAAATAGAGAAACCAGAAACTAAAATTGTAAGTCAGATATCTTCTTAACTGTGAAATCAAATGATTCTGTAGTTATGTTCTTGTCTGTTTGAAAAATAGTCCAATTTGATGTTGACTTTTGGGCCTCTTCTGAACTGAAGAGTCAAAGGGTTTTGTCTGGAAAATATAAAAAATGAAAGAACTTCTGGAAATATTTTTTTCTACACTATAGAGTGAGATAAAATGATATTAGTTAGCAACTCAGCTTGCACTGCAGCCATGCAGTCTTGCTCCTAAGCACCACCTGGGCCAGCTGTGGCACCGAGCACATCGGCCTTGCTCAGTGGTTTCTGAGAATGAAAGTTAAATCCTTTTTCTTAGCAAAGACAAATTGCTATTGTTATTGGGAAAGCCTCCAAAAGTTTGTGTGGAGTAGTGGAGATACAGATTGGGATGCCAATAGTTTACAGAGGTTCCCTGAGAGCAGCTAGTCCATAGCAGTCCTCATCCCTGCCCAGCACTGACCCCGGCCAACACCTGCAACCCAGTGGGCACAACCAAAACCAAACCAGATGGGAGCAGGTGCCTGCAGAATCTGTCACCGCAGCTGCTTCAGCACTGGACGGCTTGCATCAGGAAAACCGATACCAAGGAAATTAACTGCCCTTTCTTGAACCTTATCATTAGGATGCATTTTGTTTTGTTTTTAAACTGTCTGAAAAACCTCCCCAAAAATGCAGTGGTCATTCAAATCTGGGAGATGGCCCGCGTTTCCCCTGTGATTTGAGTGAGCATCGCTGCTGCCCACAGAGGTGGGTGGAGGGCACTGCCCTTCATAGCATACATGCAAAACCACTCAACTGGCTTTTTCTTAAATAAGCAGTCACTGCTGTTGAGTACTGAAATGGGCCATTCAGCAATGGCTGCCTCTCCTCCTTCCTTCACACGTGTGCCATTGTCCAGTTGCAGCCAGTGAATTTTTTTCTTCTTTAAGAGTAAGTTCCTCTGTGGCTTACCCGAGATGAGGGGAGTGGTGTGACCACACTACGGGGGAAGCTGCTCTCCTGGCTCTCCGGGCTGTGTCATATTCACAGAAGCCAGCCTTCCTGCCATGGCAGGGTTGAGTTTTGGGGTTTTTTTTAAAGAAAAGCAAAACAAAAAACCCACCTGTCATCCCTGGCCTGCTGCCTTCTTGGTTTTATTTGTCAAACTTGAAAATGAGGCAGAAGAAAGCTGCATTTTTATCTGCCAGCAGATCCAGGATTGGACCTTTAACTCCAGTTTCATCCATTGCCACTGGTTCTGCCTGCAGATTTGGCCCCAGGAGGTAGTGCACCATTTAATGTTTGCTGTACCTCAGCTTACACAGTGAAGAATAGCACAGCTCGGGCTTATCAATGGGATTTGATCACTGTCAACTGGAAATTATCTGGAGCTTGACAGCTGTGCTGAGCCAAGGTGATTTTTGGCATAGGTGAATGGGCCCAGCCACTGTAGGAAAGGTATTCAGATGATAAAAGTTTTGCACATGTATTTGGTGGCAATTAGTGATCCTTGTAGACGAGGCAGGAGTAAACAAGTCACAGTGGTGGTCTGCACTTCTGAGTGATGGGTCTGAGTTGTGGTAAAGCTGTTGGGGAGGGTAGGTGCTGACGCTTCTGTCCAAAAGGACTTTGGATGTCAGTACTGCCTTCATCCTCACTTCTTAGTTAACAGATAAAAGCTGCCTTGTGCGTGTTGCCTTCTTTTCATTGCTAACGAGTGATTGGAGATGCTCTCCTTCTCCAGCAGGTTTAGCACGCTTGAAGCATGGCTACAAGTGCCGTTCCCAGCGAAAACCTCCCCACGTACAAGCTGGTAGTGGTTGGAGATGGTGGTGTGGGGAAGAGCGCTCTCACCATTCAGTTTTTCCAGAAGATTTTTGTGCCGGACTATGACCCCACCATTGAAGACTCCTACCTGAAGCACACAGAAATAGACGGGCAATGGGCAATTCTTGATGGTAAGCAATCTACTCTTGTGGTTCCCTTTCCCTTCTAGCTGAGCCTAAGTGCAAATAGACCTCAGTACCTCCCACAGTGCGTTGTGCCCTTGTGTCCCTCCTACTCCGCTGTGGGCTGCCAGGAATTTGAGTGCAGACTGGCCTGTGAGCTGTTGTGTGTGGTCTGCAGCTGATCTCCAGCAAAGCGTCTGCTTCCAGTTACATTGGTTCCAGTACTGCGCAGAAATGTTTTTTGCAGAAGTGTAAAAACCTATAGATCATCATAGATATTTGGGGTAGGCTTCTACAAAAGGTGAATTATAGCACTGTGAGGTGGTATTGCTAACGATACTTCATTGTGGTTAGGCTCATCCCCTGGGTAATAACAGTGAGTGGGTAACTGAATGAGGGTTATAACCAGAAAGAACATTTAATCAAAACTGTCAACCACTGACAGTGAAGAATTGTAACACCTCTTAACTCCCATCATTCAGGCGTGATATTTTCATATCTAGTTACGTGTTTCATTTAAACACAGGTAGAATACCAGCCTGGAGAGCTGCTGTAACCAAAATATTTCAGTTCTTTGAAGATCCTTTTTAAAAAGGAAAACAAAACAAACCAATCAATCAAACAAACAAAAAAACCAAACCAGCTAACCCCCCAAAAAATAAACCAAAAAATCTTGGTTCTGCAGGTGAGGAAAAAGCCCAATATTACCTAAAGCTGCAACTTAACTAGTTTGTGCTGCAAGAGACAGACTGACTACATCCACAAGGAGAATCTTGCTGTTAAATGTTTTAAGTTTTGTTTGGCCTTATAGAATAATTACATAGCACATAAAAGCAATCAAATTATTTTGTGTCTTAATTAGCCAAATGCATGTATGTGGCCACTAACACAACCGAACTAAATTTAACCTCACTTGTGTCGAGTTTCTACCTCCACCCTCTCGTCACGAAGGCGTTCAAGATCTTTGGTGTCTCTGTGTATCTATCATTGGTGCGTGGGGACAGAAAACTGGAAGATTGGCATGAGTGGTGGAACGTGGAGGCTGGTGGAGTTTTCTGTGAAAACCATAAGCTTGGTCTGGAAACTTAAGATCTTAGTTGCACTCTTAAGGATGTATCAGACACAATTTAGTGAGTACAAATGGCCCCAAGGTCCTTACAGAACAGCCTTCACTCAGTATTAATCTTGCCAACATTTGTTCATTTAAATATGTTGGTTGTTAAGAGCTGATATGAGGGAATATTTGTTAAATTGGTGCCCAAATATGTCTCATCATCTACATCAGAGATACCTGCTCTCAGTCAACCACCACATAATGTATCTGAGCACCTTTATTTTTAAAACATCCGTGTTGTATAAAGGAAAAATCCAATCCTGCTGTAAATGAAATCCATACTTTCTTTTTAGTCCAGAATCCAGCCCTCTAAAATGAACAACCTTTTTCTTTGCTGGTATGCCCCATGTTCTGATATAACAGTACCAGCTGCTGTACACATTGGTGTTGGCTGAAACAGCCTGGTTTTTGTAAATTATTTGATAGTAGGAAAGGCATTTTTTAGTGAATATTTGAAATTTTTGTTTAGTCGAAAAAACATAAAACAACCCTGACCTTGGTGGGAGTGAGGAAAAAGATTGTTTTCCAACAAGCAGAAACTTAACCTTTTGTTTTAATGAAAAAGCCTTTCTTTTGCTCAGATGAAGTTTAGTGGCTGTACTTGGGCTGAACTGAATTCAGCTGTGGCCTTGAATGGCATGTTGGGAGTCCCCGACTTTTAGAATTTGTGTGCCCACAGATGCCTTGCGACCGCAGAAGTGAAACTGAAGCTTCTCCTTCTCTTTCCTATGACTTGAGATTGTGAACAGTCAGAATTTTGGAAGAAAAGCAATATTCTTGCTTGGAAAGGCATGTGAGCCTTTACCATCTGCCCAGTAGAAACAGGGCACAAAGACTGACCATCACATGTGTCTTCTGCCACAGCTTTCTGTCATAGGCTTTGAATCAGGCCATTCTCAGAGGTCACCATATACTTGGACAGCTGCTCCTGTTGTGGTTACACATGGTTGCATGAATCATTTATGGTATAAAATTAGGGACAAACACGATAGGAAGGATAAAGATGCATCATGATAAATTCTAGACTTTCCAGTTGTCCTTTATGACCAAATCCTTTACCAGCTGTATCATGTAGTACTTGGTGTGAAGAAGAAGCTGCCCACCCCCAAAATAGGAACTAGTTTTAGAAGATGAGACTACCAAGTGAGGATATAGCATGAGGGATTCCATAAGTTTCTGAGTTTGCAGAAACAGTTATTTAAAAAAAAAGCCAAATACACTGACATCCAGCAACTTCATAAAAAAAAAAAAAAAAGCCACAGCCCACCCTCTTCCAGGCTGTTGCCTGAGCAGTTCTGTACAAAGCATCTAGATCTAGCATTTGGTATCTGTACCAGCATTATGTTGTGAAAAATGCCTTGTGCTAGCCAGCTTGCATAAAACATTTGGCTTCCCTCCATGAAGACCTCCACCCACATTTATTCAACAGCACTAACTGGCAGCATGATGAAATGTTTGACTTGCGTTTTTTTCCTTTGCTGAAATGTCTCACTGAAAGTAGACAAATGGAATAGGCTCTTATTTCAAATTTTTGACCTTGGAGCCAAACCTATGTTCAGACTTTTCTTTTGCATATTTGCTCTCTGTCTTGGGTGTGTCTCTGTGTCTATTTTCTCACCAAAGAAGAGTCTATGATAGTTCCCTGCCTTCCAGAAGATTGTAGGACCTGTGCTTGGTGTGTTCAGGTCCAACACTACACAAAAATACTTTATTGTTGGCCTTATGCCAACTTTATAAGACCATCAGTGCAGTGTTTGGAGGATAAGCACTGCAGAGTGGAACAGGGCGCATAACCTGAATAAGGGATGCACAGGCAATTTGTGGCTAGCCCATCAGTTGTTGCTGCCCCAACAAGGCTTTAAGATCAGCCTCCCATTTTCTCTGCATAAGTTATCTTCATTTATTCCCTGCTGTTCATGCTGAAATCAGCATGCTGATGTGCTTGGTTAAATGCGTTCACACGCAGATGCTGTATAGACACATCAGGTTAGAACTAAGTGGGGTCCAGGGTTAATCTGCTTTGATTAGCTGTTGCTCCAATTCAGTTGCTATCATTAATTTTGTACACTCCTTTCTGTGTGCAGGCTAACTTAGCAATTAGCAGAGGATTTCTTTTGGTGTGGCTGCAAAATGCCAGTCTGGAATTACTAATGTGGGCATGAAGCCAGAAGTGGAATACCTTAATATGACAAAAAATTCCCAATGGTTCAGAATTCCTTATGTTGTAAACCACACAGAGATAAAAATGTGGCAAGGAAGAGGGGAGGAATAGATGGCCACAAGCACATGGCTTTGGCATGTTGATGAATTAGGCTAAACTCTTAGCTGTCAGTAGGACTGTGCCAGTTGGTACCCGCAAAGCAAGGAATTGAGCCTGTGTGTTGAGTGAAAGGAGGCTGTGGTCTGCCTCCTCTTCCCTTTCCTTGCTCTGGCATAATTCATAGGAAACTCTCACTGTCTAGAAGTTGTCTTCCTATTCCTGAGCTTCAGTTTTCCATTTTATTTCTCCTCTTCCCAAGTACCTCTCTCAACCCCTGGGTGCCCTCGCATTGGGCTAGACCTGCACAGCCCTCGTGTGCACCCCCGTGGAGTAACACCAAGCACTGTTCCTTCCCCCAGCCTCCCTCTCCCTTTCCACGCGTGCCTCCCATGCATCCCTTTTTGCCAAAGGTTTTTGCTGCTAGTCATCACAGGACAGGCTGTCTGCTTTTCTCCTCAGGAAGCTTGGGAACAATTCAGCCAGGAGGCCAGAGGGCGACCAAAGGTCACTTGAGACTTGCAGGCAGAAGGGTTGGTTTGTGGCTCGCTTTCTTTTTTTTTTTGTTTAAACTTTGGGCAGCATCATTGAAAGAATTAAAATTAAAATTAAGTTTATAATTTCATTCTTTTATTTATGTGTACAGTATTTTCCCTCCCTTAATTGCTGGGATTTTGCAACCTTGAAAGAGGGATTTTTCTCTTGGGTTGTGGGGATTTTTTTCTTGCCAGGAAAATTTTGATGTTGCAACATGGAAAACACAAGGCTTTGAATACTTATCCTTTGTTAAAGAAAGAGCTCCTTTAAGAGCTCGCATCTTTATTCTGTTCATTGATGTGGAAGCCTTTTTTCTGAAGGCCCCTCTTTTTTTTTTCCTTAAAGGAAGGGCAAGAATTCAAGTACGCAGGTTTTCCATGTTATAACATCTGTGTATTTAGTTAGGGCACAGAAGTGCTCATAAAGCCCCAGTGTTTCCTCATCACGTGTTTTTCCCTGAGGAAAGCCCTCATGCCAGGGGAGAGTAGCTATATCCGAGAGGAGCAGAAGCATCAGAGTGACCAAGTGAAGCATCTGTCTCGCCTCGCACACAGCATGGACACCTCATACCTCTTCAGGGTGGCTTGGGGTGTGGGAATAGAGAATATAAGTTGCGGTCCCTGCACTCCATCTGCTCAGTGCCCAGAATACTAATTCCTCAGCTGAAGCCAATGGCTGATGGGGGATGCCCTCACCCACCATACTGCTGATGGAAGGAAGACAAAGACTGTGGGGATGGTTTTCCTCAGCCTGAGCCTCTTTAGTTTGACTTGTCAATTCAAGTTAAGTTTTCCCTTGAGTTTAGCTACCAAGCTGCAGGGCAGCTGGGGATGGAGTTTCTCTCTGGTTCCACCTCTTGAAGCTGAGCTGCCATGCCGAGAGGCAAGACTTGGAGAGAGAAGCACCATGAGGAGTCTGGCTCTGTAACCTGTGGTCCCCTGACAGTACCACATTCCCAGTTCTGCTCTTTGCTTCAGGGACTTTTCCTGTATTTCATATCAAGAAGTTGAAGAAGCAAAAAACATCTGGAGTCACTCCTTTGTGCTGCTCCTCTCCCTGGCACTGTGAACCCAGGTTCCTACCTTCCTGCTGACCCATCCCGCCCCTTAAAGGCTTGCACATGTGCTGCATTTATGTAGCCAAAGGGATTTCACTGGAGACTGCTTGTGAAATCAAGTCATACACACTGTGCTTGCCTTTCTGAGCATGAGATCGAGGTAGGCACAAACAGCAGCATCCTGTCCCTGAGCTTCATGGTGTGCAGCCACTCTTCTGGATGCTGGAAGGCAAGGCGCTCCAAGAGTCACACTGAGCTAATTTCAGGCCTGGCTGCAGCAATGTGCAACTGCTGCTTCGAACAGGCTGCTCGTGTCTGATTCAGGCAGTGAAACCCAAGGGCTGAAGGATAGAAAATGGGTTTAACCTGCCTGTCTTGTCATCTTTGGCCCCTTAGGTGCCATGGACAATGGAGAAAGTCTCAAGTTCATCTATACACTTAGCTGCCCAACAATGTAAAGATAAAGACGTAGGAGGGAATTTTGCCTAGGTATGAAAAGAGAAGAGGAACTCACCTGCACAACCAGATCTGAGCTCCCTGAAGGCTGGGAAGGCTGTGTTTGAATTTGAACTGAATCCAGCCTAGGTTCTAGAAAAAGCAATGCTGTGACTTAGATTTCATAGTATGTCTCTGCCCTTGGCTTAGATTTACATGCCTGTGTCTCTGGATGGGCACTCAGAGCACTGTTGGTTGCAGAAACATTGACGCATGAAATACCTGGAAGCAGAGTGCTTTTATTTTGCGCCACATGTTCCTGTGTCACAAATTCCTGGACTCCTGTGTCTGCCCAGAAGTGCCCTCTAAGCAGCCGTATTCTTGCCTAACTGATGAAGATTCACAGGAAAATGGTGTGTAGAGCTCTAAGGGGGCAGGATTCAACTAGCAAGGAGTTCAGCACAACAGCTGGGGTCATGTCCGGAAAGCAGAAAAGACCATCTCTTTGCTCAGCAACCTCTTACCTGCAAAGCGGGAGACCTCCCCACTGGGCTCTCACAGCCTAATTGCTCTTAGTTTAGTCTCCAGCTGATTGCATGATAGCTCTGTAAAATGGCTTAGCCCTCTTTGGATGTCTCTTCCTACGTCAGACATAGTCCTTATCATCTCTCTCCTCAGTATTTACTCAAACACTTTCATTAACACTCCTCTTTGCTGCTTCTTCAGTCAAGTTTGTGAGATCGTCACCAAGTTTGCTGTTGGAAGTCCCTGACCATGCACTGCATAGCCTATGAATCTGATTTCAGTTCTTGGGAGAATGAGGTAGGGGGAACCTGCTGTGCATTGGTCCAGCCTTGTTTCTACATTGGCTTTTATGTGCTGCCAGTGAGACTGCTGTTTTAAGGTGTACCAATGGAAGAGAGAGCTCACAGTTCTCTGCTCATGATTATTTCTATGTCTTCTGGTGTCCCATCTTCAGAAATGGGAATTTTAAAAGAAGGTGAATGTTAACATCCTAAATCTCCTTACTCCTTTGGGAAGCCAGTCAAAGCACCTTCCCAGTTTCACCTTCCCAAGGTTTCTCCTTTCTACTTTCTCATTTCTGTCTGTAAGAGTCTTCCTGAAGCTTTTATGCCACAAGATTACACCAGAAGCAAAGCCACTTGCATCTGGCCTTTTTTCAGTGCTGATGCTTTCCAGGATGTGGTACCATCTGCCTACAGAGAATCCAGATTGCATTCTCCTCTCTGAGTGTTTACAATTCATGTAGCACAGAAGTATTAGGATGGGGTGGTTGTCTTATTAAGAGCACATTTAAAGTTAAAACAAGGACTTCTCTGGCCATCCACATGATGCTTAACTTTGCATCAATAACCCATCTGAGATTAACCTTAACCTTCACTGCTGCATGTCTTTTACCTGCATTTTGAAAGTGCCATTTAAATGCTGCCTGGACTTGCTCACCTTTCTACAAATGCTGTAAGTGAATTCCCTTTAAATAGCAGTTGCTGACACAGGAGCTCTGCATTTAGTGTGATGTCATGGCCAAGATCCAGGCAATGCAGAAATGGCAGGAGCACAGCCCTGTGCTGCACCTTGGGTATCCCCACAGCCCCTGCCCAGGCCTCATCCCCTGTCCTCTGGCAGGGGATGGAGAGGTTTGGAGGAGTAGCAGTTGGGGATGGGTTAATGGGTGCAAGATCAGAGCTGGATGTTCCTCACGTGTTTCATGGGAAATCTGCAAATATGCCAGAGCAAGGGGAAGTCCCGAAGCAAATTACCATGCAGGATACGGCACATCCATCTCCACCTCCCTGCCTACGGCTTGTGCTCAGGCACCTGCCCTGTCTCGGGGGGAGGGGGCTGTACAGC